ACAGGGATCCTCGAGTTTATGAGAATTCCTCTGTGAGGGTCCACTGCATGTTCTACAAAGGATGCAGCACATTTGGGGTTCACTGCCTTCCATGAAAGATCTGGCCCTGAGTGGGCTAGCTGTGGCCCAGACAAGGACCTGGGACCATGTTCTTCATGGAGTTGGGCCTAGAATTGGCCTTAAGGAATTGGCTTTATGTTGGTGTTAAGGACCTTCTCCTGTGTTTCCACTGTTTCCTCTGCATAGTGTGCCTGAGTAGCTTGTAACATGGCTGCCCTTGGTTTACCCAGCCTGATGGGAGACGCATGTGGTTGGTTGTTTCCCATGATACTGCTTCTTAGTGTTGGAGCAGGACTCAGGAAAATAGCAAGGTAAGAGCCTTGCTGTCATCATCTACGTAGTTGGCATAGTTATAGTGTCATGCTGCGCCTTTCTGAGAGACCAGAAATAGAGCTGGGTGGGTGGTGCTGTAGAGTGGTCCATTGGTGCCGAGTGAGTGTGGGCTTAGTGGTCTGTCGTGGTGCTCGTGGCTTGTAGGAGGCTAAAAGGACTTCTCAGAAGTCTTGTGTTACTTGTGAGAGTCACGCAGAGCTTGTGTGGTTTGGGGGCCTTTCTCCTAGGTTCTGGGGTGGAGCTGCTTTTCTTGGCCTTGATTTGGTAGTGCCTTGAGGGAGTCTCAAACCAGCATCTCCTGCTTGGCAGCAGGTAAACTCGCTCCTGAGTAGCTCAACAGCCTGTGATTTACTGGGCTTGGAGAACATGCCCTGGGGAGGGGAAGCTGGTTTGCACATTGCAGAAAAGCAAGCTTGGGTGGGTAGCAATTGAAAGGTGCGGTAGTTTAGAATGATTACTAAGAAACTCGTCTTGTTTGCACCTTGTCCTGTGCTAGTTTCTAGAACAACACAAACAGACCTGACAATCATTTCTCATTAGCCATGTGATGGTGTTTTTCTCTAATCTGTAAGTGGTATAATTGCTTCCATATAGTGCATGCTTTTCAGCAGGTGGTTTTAGGTTGGTTCCAATTATGCCTCCATGAAAAGTGGGATGCACCTCCCATTTTCTGGCTAGCTTATGAGTATTCAAATTCATCAGATAGCTAGGATGCCCTCTATCTGACTGCATCCTCCTGCCACTATGGGCACTGGCTGGCATCACGCTTGCTCAGGGTGAGGTGCAGTGAGACAGCCTTACTTTTATGTGAGAAAGACAGAAACAAACAAACTCTGTCTTTGTTGGCTTTTGTTCCTTCCTTTTCATCCCTTTTGCTCTCCTGAGTTCATTCATGGGTGTCAGTAACTTCTTTGACTTTCTCTTTGTGTGTACGGAGAGTCCATGAGTTATCCTATGTAATTCATTTGGTATTATTCCCAGAACATTTTCTCAGTCAAGATAGAAAAACTTGTAGGGATAAAAAGAATTAATCTACCTATAAAAATGGGTGTTGGGGCTGGGCTTGGTGGCTCAACCTGTAATCCTAGCATATTGGGAGGCCGAGGCAAGTGGAACTGCCTGATCCCTCAGGTTCGAGATCAGCCCAGGGAACTTGGCGAGACCTCTACAATAAATCAAAAAATTAGCTGGGTGTGGTAGTGCGCACTTGGAGTTCTGGCTACTTGGAAGGCTGAGGTGGAAGGATTGCTGGAGCCCAGTAGGTCATCACTGGGGTGGCCGTGAGTGTGCCACTGCACTCCAGCCTGGGTGACAGAGTGAGACTCCAACTCAAAAAAAAAAAAAAGGTGTTTGTTCTCCCTTACTCCAGATGGTGGCTGGTCTTGGGCCTCAGTGCTGTCCCCTCTGTGTATGGGGGAACAGTGGGAGCTGAGCTGGATTTTTCCATTCATGGGGTGTCGTTGCCCTCCATGCTCGGCCATGGGGTGTCTGTGCCAGTTACAAGAGATAATACTTGCTTTCCTGAGAACTAAATACACCACTTGTATTTTAGTCTTTTATTTAGAATGTTGTTATACTACACTTTACAAGGAACTTGGCAAATAAAGAATGTTTATATATGAGAGCATTTTTGATATTTTAGATTCTTTTTTAGTGAGTGAATGAGACCAAAGAGTGCTTTAACCTGTTGCCAAGTGCTGTCAGTTCAAACCTTCATCGTCCATCCTTCCCGCCTCTTCACGCCTTCTCTCATAGTTCAGATTCTCTGTGTATCTTACCAGGACATTTACAATAGCTTCCTTAAAAGTCTTTGTTGTGGCCAGGCTTGGTGGCTCAGCTGGTAATCCTAGCACTTTGGGAGGCTGAGGCGAGTGAATTGCCTGAGCCCATGGGTTCGAGACCTGTCCAGGCAACTTGGCGAGACCTTGTCTCTACAATAAATCAAAAATTAGCTGGGCATGGTAACGCACACCTATAGTTCCGGCTACTTGGAAGACTGAGGTGGAAGGATTGCCGGAGCCCAGCAGGTCAAGGCTGCGGTCTTGGGAGCTTGCCACTGCACCCCAGTCTGGGCGACAAAGTGAGACTCCAACTCAAAAAAAAAAAAAAGTCTTTGTTGTTTAGTTTTCATCCCTTCCATGTGTTTTCTATTTTGCTGCCAAGATGGTGTTTGTCAGGTTGGAATCTAATCATGTTGCTGCCATCCAGGGCTATATAGGGGGCACCCCTTGCCTACGGGGCAAAATTTCAGTCCCTCATGTGTTTGTTATCTGTTATGGAATGAGGCACTTCAAAGCTAGTGACAAATGACAGCCACAGTATTGCATGGGTTGGTTCTGTGACCTATCAGGGCAGTGCACAGGAGGTGGCTTCTCTCTGCCCCTTGACACCTGGTTTTAGCTGAGAAGACCATATGGTGAGCACCTTGAAGGACTGGGCTTAGCAGGAATCCTGGTGTGGCAGACATCATCCCAGAAGGAGTGTCCCAAGCAGCGGCATCTGGAGAGAACTTGCAAAGGGTGCTAGCCTCTGGCCTGGGATTGTAAATCACAGGCATCACTCCTGCCTGGCTCTGTTGGTTGAAGCAACCAGAAGCCTGCCAAGGTGGGGGGTGGAGGTGAGGGATGGCACAAGACCCCACAGACCCCAGTTCTGGATGGGAGGGTTATCAGCGAATTTGTCACATAGGATGGCCATTTAATTTTTATCCAGACTGGATTTTGAGATAAATGAAGCTCTGTTAACACCAAGTCAAGCAGCAGGCATCCGCTGGGGCCTGGACCAGCAGACTGCGTGGCCACCTGGGCCAGTGCCTTTTCTGAACTGGCTATAGGCACGGTCCACTATTCCCCATGGATCTGGAGCTGACACAGAACCAGCTGTGTGTTGTTTTTTTTTTGTCCATTTGTGTCCTACCCTTTGCTCACTGATTGTTTAATAAAATCCTGTTCCCAGCAAGAGCTGGCTGATGTGACAGCTTCTTTGTGAAGTGTCTTTCTTTTTTGACTCCCTCAGATGTGGTCAGGTTTCTCATGGTGCATTATGTTGGCTTGGTTTTGTCACCCCCTCATCCCAGGGACTTGTGAATGTGTTGTGCTCTGACTCTGCCCATGCTCTGAGACGCTTCAGGGAGGAACTGCTCTTGTGTGTGCCCCAGCAAGATTTACTCTGTAAACTGATGACTGAAGTATACATTTGGATTTATGTGAAATAAATTAACTTATAATTTCATATTTCACATAAACTAAATCTAGGGAAACGTTCTTAAATAGTTTTTGGATAAACAAAGGATGTGTCTCTGTTCACTTGGTAGGGCACATATTAATATCCAGTTCTCTAGAGAGAAAGGGGGTATAGTCTTCTGATCTCTTTGGTGACTGTGTCGATGTATGTTTGCAGTTTATTCTCAGCGTGACTCAGTGAGGTGGGTACAGTCATTGTCCTGTTTTGCAGATGGAGGAAAGGAGATTCAGAGACCCTGCCCTGGCCCATGGGTGGTGAGTGGTGGTCTGTGTGGGCTCACTGCATCTCTGCCCAACACCCAGGAGAGGCCCCTCAGCACATTCCATGGAAAGAGTATGATGGAAGTCCCTCTTCTTTTAAACAGATTTTTTTATTGTACACTTAACTAAAAGATCAAGCAATTTAGAGGGTTCATAATGAAAATGAAAACAGCCAGTGGTTAGTGAAATCCTCTGCTGAGCAACTCCTTGACAGTCAAGACCTGGTTCTTACCATTTGCTGCATGGGGAACAGGAGCGTCCAGGTGAGGGAGTGAGTGTGCAGTGCAGTGACACTTTAGATGATATAAAACAGAGCCAGTTCTTGACTTGCTTGTTAAATACTATTTTTTGGGGAAAAGGAAATTCATTAACTGTTTCTTAGACATTCTCAGATCTAGGATTCCTTGGTTAAGGGTCTTAGATATTCATGCAAATAAAATTTTAGGTTAGAATTCAGGAGGACCAGAACCAGTGTTTTAGAGAAAATCTGATATTCCTCTTTGGTGTGGCAGACTCTGGTTCATTCATTCATGGTGCTGTATATGAAGTGTATGTGTGAGTTGTGGGGACCAGGTTGTGGGCTCCACGGGAGGAGGCAGGCGTGTGTGCAAGATGGAAGGGTGGGTAGGTCACCTGTCTCATTTGTTGGCTAAAAATGAATGAGACTTCCAGATGAAAACTTTGGTTCCTTACTTTTGTGTGAGATAGTTTGACCAGTGACTTTATCCTTTATGTCTTAAAAAAACTCCAAAAACCCACTGAAATGTCTCCTTTATACAAGTTGGTGCCCTGAACCTCAGCCTGGGCACATTTCAGTGATGCTGCTGATTGGGGACTAAGTCTTTCTGAAGAAGCAGACTGGACTTGACCATTGCATTTCCATTTTAAGATAAATTTGTGGGAGATTTTTTTCTCCAATCTCATGTAATTTCTTTCATTATATATACAGAAACTATTCTCCTGTTATAAGGCCATGAATGTTTAGAATAGAAATTCTGAAAAATGCAGTGAATTGCTTTAATAATTATTGTTTTTGTTTTAAGTTTGTAAATGTATTTGTAACATTCTAAAAGTTTTTTTTTTTTTGGTTTTTTTTAGGCACAAATATTTAAACATGGAAAACGAGAAGATTGTTTGCCTTATGGTAAGGTTTCTCTCTTTCTTTCTTTCTTTTTTTTTTTGAGTTGGAGTCTCACACTGTCACCCAGATTGGAGTCAGTGGCCGCTCCCGGCCACCGCAGCCTCGACCTGCTGGGCTCCGGCGATCCTTCTGCCTCAGCCTTCCGAGTAGCCGGAATTACAGGCGCACGCTACCATGCCTGGCTAATTTTTTGATTTTACTGTAGAGATGAGGTCTTGCCTGCCCAGGTGGGTCACGAACCTGCGGGCTCAGGCAATCTACTCACCTCAGCCTCCCAAAGGCGTGGGCTTACAGGCCGAGCCACCGAGCCTGGCTAGGTTTATTTAAATTCTGATGTGAATTTGCCCATGTATAATCAAGTATGTCTCTTTAACCTTTTATTTATGGACATAAGTATCTATAAATTTTTATATTTTAACTCTTTGTCCTTTTTTTTGTTGCGGATATGTTTTAATAACTTGACTTTTTGTGCATTCTCCTACCCATTTGGCATAGAGGAGTTGCTGAGGGCCTGTGCTGAGGTATGGGTCTCCTAACCCTCTGGTGCTTGTGTCAAGATGCTTGGTGGAACTTGGCTTCCTATCTGTAGCCATGGCCATAATGTATTTTGACTTCTGCCTCATTCTCTTAATTTTAGATTGAACCTCAATTTATGAACATAAGGGCAGTGGGCCAGTGGTTCTTACCACAGAGAGGATGACTATTTGAAAATTCCTAGAGTTCTGGTTTAGAAGATGCATTAATGTTAGATTTGGATAATCTGGTTTTTGTTTTTTTTTTTTTTGAGTTAGAGTCTCACTCTGTTGCCCAGGCTGGAGTGTAGTGGCACGCTCATGGCCACAAGACCTTGACCTGCTGACTTCAGATGATCCTTCTGCCTCAGCCTTCCAAGTACCCTGAACTATAGGCGTGTGCCACCACATCCAGCTAATTTTTCTTGATTTATTGTAGAGATGAGGTTTCATCAAGTTGCCCAGGCTAGTTTCGAACCCCTACGCTCAGACAGTCCTCTCACCTCGCCCTCCCAAAGTACTGGGATTATAGGTGTGAGCCACTGTGCCCGGCCTAATAATCTGTTTTTAAAAAGTTTTTCATTATGGAAATTTTCAAACATGTGAACAGGAGAGAGCATGGTGTAACAAACTCCATTTTTCTATCATAAGCTTCAAAGTTTTTATTTTGTGGTTTCTCTGTTTCATCCATACGCTTCTTCCTCTTCACCCTACCACTCTTCCTGTCTATTCATCTGTGTGTATTTCAATACTTCTCTAAAAGTTAGAGCCTCTTTTTAAAAATACAACCTTGATATAAAAAAAATGAGCAGTAATTTCTCCATGTTGTCTAGTATTCGGTCAGTGGGAGAAGTTGTCCTTGGGAACTGACATAGAGATCTGTTTTTTTTTTTTTTGAGTGGTTGAGGTTATCACCCAGGTTAGTCCTGCCCGCTGTTTGAGTTTTCTGAGAAATTAGTCAAGTGCTGTTACACACCTTTGCCCCCACCTTTTCCACTCACAACCTGCTCCCTTGTCCTGCCTCTGTCACCTCATCCCTCTGTCACCTCATTTCCTCTCTCATCACCTTGCATGGGTCTTGGCTCTGTCTTCGACTTCTTTTCTCTTTTTCCTTTTTAGTTGGTCGCAGGGTCTTGTCCATTTCACTTTAAACTCATCCCTGAATCATGCCATGTCCATCTCAGGCCTTGTCTCTTTCTGAACACCGTCCTCCTGGCTCAGCTCCTCTCCTTGAGGCCTCCTCGTGCCTCTGAGTGACCTTTGTAGCACAGGGGGCCCATCAGACCTTCTCCTCCTCATAGCCTTTCCCTGTCAGGCTGCCGTGCCAAGCAGTGTCCTCTCCCTGTACTCAGCCTCCTATCCCACCATTGTCATCATTCCTGCTTGATATAGAGTGCAAAACAGAGCAAACCCAGCTCAGTGCCCAGCTCGTTCTCTGGCCTGTTAGACCTTTGCATGTGCTGCCCCTTAGAACAGTTTCCCTTGTCCTGTGCTCTTATTGCTCTATCTGCCTCCCTAGTAGTTGCTTCTCAGAGAGGAAATTGAGTAGTTTCAACTCCAGCTGCTCTTTGTAAACAATACAGGATGAAGAGGGAGGTCTTCATCCCCTGCGTTGGGGGCCCTTGTGGAATCAGCGCTCTGAGTGTTGTGGTCAGAAGGACCCATGTGATTCTTTCTGCAGCATTTTGTCATGCGAGCTCTTATTCACAGCTGCCACTGTCCTCGAGTGCCTTGATGGCTGCAAACTCCCTGAGAGCAACCAGACTCTGTTACGGAAACTGGGAGTGAAGCTTGTACAGCGACTGGGGCTGACCTTCCTGAAGCCAAAGGTGGCTGCCTGGAGGTGGGTGCCAAGGGTATGGGTGTCATGGGAGCAGGGCACCAAGAGGGAGGGCTACTGTGGGGTGGGCAGGCTGAGTTGTGAGTGTCACCTGGTATGGCTAATGCTGTGGCTCTTGTATCGGATAGTGATGGCAAAGAAGAAAGTAGCAGATGTCTTTGGCTTTCAGTTTTTCCTTTAATTTCATAAGTGTTTCTGATTTTGAAAGGTACAGCTTTCCTGCTGGTACATTGACTCTGCATCTTCCAGTTGAAAGAGCTGCGGCTGCAGTGCTGACGGGAACGCAGCTCGCTTAGCACTCTGTGTGACATGCTGCCTGGGTCCAGTGACCTCCCTGATGTGGGCTTGCAATGGGGACAGCTCCATTCTGATTAGTGACGGATCTGAATGACAGGCTGCTTTCAAAGAAAACGAATCTCCCTTTTAAAGGTTTATTCAGAAAATGAGACAGTCTTAATGGGAATGATGTTTTAGTCCATGGGTGACTCTGACAGGTTGATTCTGAATCACGGGCTCTCATGGATATAGATGTTCCTATTGTTCTTGGGGCACTCTTTTTAAAATAACCTTCATTTTTATTTAAAATGTTAATATTTGTGGTTTGGGAAGGAATTATTTGATTTTCCACTTATCCTTTGTCCTGAGTGATAAACAAATTCCAGAGGAGTGTGTTATGTTTTATGATCAGTGTATGGCTTATTCTGTAAGAAGTTGTTTTTTTTAGACAGAGCATTAGTGACCAGCTTCTAAAATGCCATGGAAGATGGTTCAGTTCTATACTGGGCAGGGTTCTTTAGAGAAACAGAACCAATAGGATGTGTATATATTCATGGAAAGGGACTTATTGTAAGGAATTGGCTTATGCTATGCAGTTACTGAGGTCTGCAGGGTGCGTTGGCAGACTGGAGACCAGGAGAGGTGAGGTTTCAGTTTGAGTGTGAAGTCAGAAAAAGGCTAGTGTTCCATCTCAAAGGATGTCAGGCAGGAGGAGTTTCTTCTTCCTTGGGTAGGGTCAGTCTTTCTGTTCTGTTCAGGCCTTCAGCTGATTGGATGGGGCCCACTCACACTGGGACGGCAGTCTGCATCACTCAGTCTACTGGTTCAAATGCTAGTCTCATCCAGAAGCACCTTATAGACACACCAGACTGACCAAACAAGTGGCACCCTGTTGCCCAGGCAAATTGACACAGAAAATTAACCTTCACAATTATACATTTATGTAGGAAGGAAAATAATTTAGTATCATAATTATTTGTTTTCTCTCTTTCATTTTTTTCTTACAATATTTTTTCTTTTTCTTAAGTAGATCTAATTTTTTTTCCAGTTTTATCTCTTCTATAACATTTTTGCTATACCTTGTGGTATCATTGTCTTATTGATTATCTTCCACTAAAGAGGATGGAGTTTTGTTCTAGCAGGCTGTTAAATTACTGATATATCTTTCTTTTCCTTTCTAGCCTTGGTTTTAGGGTGTGTTAGGCGGTTTATTTCAGCTCTTTTTCTCCAAGGGTATAGTCTGAGAACTATACGACACGGTCCTTGCTTCCAGTGTGTTGTCCTTTAGAGTCTTAAGTGAAAGTCAGAGCTTTCAGTCCCCTCCTCCTGGGCCCACCACTCAGTGATCCTGACATTGTGTGGCCTCTGAGTTCTCCACACAGTTTTTGACCTTCCAGCTGTTCTCTTATTGACATTTCTGGGTCTTGCTCATGCTTGCTCATCTTAGGGGTCATCTAGGGTGCCAAGGGAATTTTTAGGCAGAGTTTTGGGGTTCTTTCTCAGCAGCTCCCTTCTCTCCAATATCCTTTTCCCCAAATACTAGCCATCTAGTAGCCTTCCCCCAGCAAGACTGCTGCTGTTGGGCTCTATTTTCCTGCTGCAGTTTAGAGATTACCTTTGGAGGGAGCAGAGGTGAAGGTGGGGTGCACCTGGAACATCTTTTCACTGAGAGTTTGTAGCCCTGCCTTGGTGGTCTTTGCTGGTCTGCCAGTGGTTGGTTTATAATATCTGTCCAAGCTTTGTAGTTGTTTATTGTGAAGAGTATGTCCTGTAGCAACCTAGCATCTGTCGCTGTTGTAGTTGGTGTTTGGACACTGAGCATTATCATGGGTATTCTTCCTATGAGGTAATGAGTGCATGTACTCCTTTGAGGGGAATGCTAATAGCAGTGCTGACCGCCGTGTGAGTGTTTGCTCCTCAGGAGGCATTTTGCTGGGTGCTTGATGATCTTAACAGTCCTGTGAAGGCTGTTTGTATTAGTTATCTAGTTATACTAGTGAACTGTTGCTACACATCAGTGCCCCAAAATTTAGAAACTTAAAACTGCATTATTTTCTCATGGTTTCTGTGGGTCAGGAATTTGGGAATCTAGGCATGGCTTAGCTGAGACCTCTGGTGAGCATCTCTCCTGAGGCTTTGTGAAGGTGGTGGCCGGGGTTGCTGTCATCTCATGGTGTGACTAGGGGAGAATCTACTTTCAGGCTCCTCACATGTCTGTGGGCAGTGCCTGGCTAGCTGTTTGCTAGAGGCCTTCTGGAATTCCTTGCCATGTGGACCTCTCTGCAGGCAGCACACAGAATGACAGCTATCTCCGCTCGGAGTGAGAGGGCAAGCAGTCTTTCTGTGACCTGATCCCAGGAGTGGCGGCCCGTCACTCCTGGCATATTCTGTTCGTGAGGAGAGAGTCTCCCACAGGGAGAGGATGGCAGGAATAGAAATTGCCTACCATTCTTCTTGTTTCCCAGAGTTGGAAACTGAGGCCCAGAAAACTAAGATGAGTCATCCAAGGCATGGTTGATAGTGTCAGTGTTGGTATTTGAGTTCTGGTTCTGCCATCAGAGTTCAAGTTATTTATTTTCTGGGAGTTGGCCTTAGGCTGCAGCCTTCATCATCTGCTCTGGAAGTTGCCATGAGCACTTTGTATGCATCAGGCTCTGTCCTGGGAGTTCACTGGGCTGCCCACCCTGTACCCAGCTTCTGAGGGAAAGGCAGTGCTTGTGGGACCTTGCTATGCACCGGACTGGTCTATATGCCTTGTGTATGTTCTGTCATTTATCCTCATAGCTGCAGTCTGGGCAGGGTGGCATTCCCATTTTACAGAGGGGATATTGAGGCATAAAGCAGTTCAGGAGCTGTGCTGAGTCTGCATCTAAGTAGGTGTGGAACCAGGTCTGACCATGAGCTAGGTCTGTGGCCTTCACAGTACATCAAGGAGACAGTGGTGCTGGGCTGTGGTACACAGGACCTTCTGAGAAGGGTTCAAGAGTAGAATCTTGTGATGAGTGAGATGCGGCTCCTGGTGATGAAGGGGCCAGTGTGTGGCCTGTGTGGCAGTGGTGGCACCATTTGGGAGGGGGCTGCCTGGAGGCACAGTACATCTGGAAGAGTGAATGCATCTGTGTCCTGGGAAGAACAAGGTAGGTGGTCGTTTGAAGAGCCACTATGGTGCTCCTGTCATGTGCAGTCCCATTGCCAGACTTTCTCTCCTTTCTGTATTCAGACACCGGGTGTGGACAGCCTAGAATCAGATGTGTGTGCTATGGATCACACCGAGCTTTTCTTGATAATTTGTGCTGATGACAATTCTTCCATTTCATCCTGTCTCTGAAGTGTGTGGAATTTTCACAGGCATCCTTTAAGATTTGAAGTTATGCTCAAGTCTTGATTTCAGTTGTCAAGAGAATGTATGCGTTAGGTCCTAACTTGTACTGGCTGATCTGAAGTTGTTCTGGTCTGCACAGGTATCAGCGGGGCTGCCGATCTCTGACTGCGAATCTACAACTCCCCTCACAGGACCAGAGTGAGCAGAAGCCACTCGTCATGACTTCTGACAGCGATGAAGAGGATGACATCCCAGAGGGAGTAGAGAATGTGATAGGTACGTAGGGTGCCCTTAGGGTCCATGCAGTGTTCTCTCAGCCGCCTCTGGTCTTGGTCATCATATGGACTGTTCCCTTAACCTCTTGATTGTGCTCCATTCTCCCCTTCTGGTGCTGGCACCACCTGGCTGGCTGTCACCTTCTTTAAGCACGGAGCAACTGCATATGTTCTGACTCTTGAGCTCCACGCCTGTCTTTGCCTGTGGGCAGTCTCTTTCCGTGTACTATAGAACCTAATGTCTCAGCTCTTTGCCATGCTACCCTCATTCCTGACCTGGGTGGTGGTGGCACTGGGTTGCAGGGAATCTCTGTAGGAAGCAGTTCTTCTGGAGAAGTTGAGTTGGGTACTCAGGGCTCAGGTTTCTGGCTTCTTGGCCCCTGCACCCTGCTTGGTCCTTCATGCTTTCCTCAGGAGCTGTTTCAAACCCCTTTATACCTCGCAGGGGTCTTGACCCCTTGCCTTGTTTTCATCATGGTGATGTTTCCTATGGCATAGGCAGTCAGTACATCAGCAGAGCACTGCACTGTGACCACACCTGGGCTCTTGTCTTCATCCCTTCCAGCCCTCCTTCTGTGGGTTGGATAAGGCTTTCCCATACCCTGGCGGTACTAGGCTCCTTATTTCCCCACCCTTGTGGGGGTCCCCGCCCTCCCACCATCTGCTTACTGGGAAGGACAGGGCAAGGCTACCTTGCTACTATGTCTTGCTCTGCTCATGTCCACTCTGCTCACATCAGGGCAGGTTTCTTCCCAGAGTTGTCTGCACCCACTGTCTACCTCAATCATGACCATCAGGATGCTCTGGGCATGTTACCAACCCTTGTATGCTTTGGACCCTTCCCTTGACCCCTGCTGCCTCTCAGAGTCCCACCCTGGTGCCATGATGGGTGCCCGGTGTCAATGCCAGGTGGCTTGAAGCCACTTGTAACTCCACAATCCCAGGCTGAGCACTCTGTATGCCCCCTCCCTGTCATGCCCAGCTGCCCCAGGCATGTTCCCATCTACTCCCCCCAACCATTTCCTCTACCCATCCCAGTTGTGCTGGCTCCAACTTTCCCTCCAACACCCTCCCTGTTTCACTGGTGGTATTTCTCAAGTCAGGCCTTCCTGGTGCTGCCTGGTACCCTCGGGCCAATGTTTTCACCCTGCTGGGCTTGCGGTGTTATCATTGAGTGACCTTCAATCACCCCCTTTCCTCTGGGCTTCTGTATGGTTCTTCCTAAAGTTTGGTTGTCACCAAGACCTGGACCTGGGGAGCTGGTCTTTATGCAACCTCTACAGATGATTTCCTTTGGAAGGCTCCCCGCCTGCCTCTGTCACCTTTGACCTCCTAGTTCCTTTCATGACCTGAGGAGGTACTGGGTGTTGGCCTTCACCCCAGGGTAGGCAACCACTCTGTTGACTGCTTTGAGAGGGTGGATCTGCTTCTTAGGAATAGTGGCGAAAGTTGGCTTTATCTGATTATTTGAAAATACAGAGAAGGAAATGTTCTTTTCTTATAAATAAAATTAATATTCTTAATGTAATTCCCAACAGGATATTCTTTTGAGTAATGTGCAGGATAGCTGAAAGTTAAGAACTTTATCTAGAATAATGGTTTGGGGATTCTTTGGCATACAACTTTCCTTGTGTTCCCACAGAACAGCTACTGGTTGGGCTGAAGGACAAAGACACGGTTGTGAGATGGTCTGCGGCCAAGGGGTAAGTGTCCATGGCCTTCCGAGGATGATGGGGGCTGGCAGGCCTCAGCTCCTCTGCTGAGCCTTTTTAATCATGAAAACCTTTAAAATGGGATTTGACAGCTGCAGATACCTTACAGATATATAAAAGATAGAATGATTTTATCTAATTTACATTTATTGCTTTATATCAGGTGTGGTGGCAGGGCAGGCAGGGTGAGCAGATACTGGGTAGAGTGTGGGCAGGGGTGGGTGGGCAGGTGCTGGAGTGGGTTGTAGGGAAGTCAGGTGTGGTTGGCAGGGCGGGCAGGTGCTGGGTGGATGTGGGTAGGTACAAGTGGTAGGGTAGGCAAGTGGGCATGATGGAGTAGGCAGGGGTAGGTGAGCAGGTGTGGGTGATGGGGTGGACAGTTTGTGGGAGCTGGTTTTTACCCTGGGCTCTCCTGGGCTTCTAGGCTGGGTAATCCAGGTGATAGAAGCCTAGGAGAATCTCCACAGGGCTTGGGGTGCCCACATGGGCCTTTGCATTTCTGTCAACAGCGAATGGCATCTCAGCCCAGAGTCCTATTTGGTTGAAGGTGGTGGGCCAGCACAGCTAAAGGTTGGGAGAACCTTCTCCACAGATCTGGCTGTATGACTAGGGTGCCAAAGCCAGCCCGTGCCTCCCTTCACATGGGGAAGGCCTGCTGGGAGCCTGCAAAGCCAGTGTTCAGGTAGCAATGGGCAGCCCGACCCTCTGTGGGAAATCTAGGTTGAAGCCCTCGTTATTTGCTTGGAGCACTGGTGTGTTAGTCATCAGTGAATACTGTGATAGAAGGTGACATGGCCCGCACACCCCTGCTCTCACTCACCTCCTCCCATACATCTGCCTGGCTTCAGATGCTGTCACATCCCTTTGCCATCTATCCATTTTAGCATGATGGACTCTCTGATGTGGTAAGGATGGTTTGTTAAGTAGTGTGTGCGGGGCTTCCTTTGGGTCCATCTCTCCTTCTCATTCTCTAGAAGAAGGAAGGTTGTTTGGGACCATTGCCAGGTGTCATGTGTACCCTTGTGATAGGCTGGTGGTGTTGATGGACTGTTGCTTTTCTTTGTAGAATTGGCAGAATGGCTGGAAGACTTCCCAAAGACCTGGCAGATGATGTGGTAGGGTCTGTGCTGGATTGCTTCAGGTATGTGAGAATCACCAGGGAGGCACTTCTGGCTTAACCTTCAGTTAGAAGCATTGGTTTTTCTTATATCCTATTACATTATCTTTCAATTGAGCTGTTTGTCAGAATCCTAAAAGCTCTTACTTTTCTGTTTTGAAGTTAAACTTGGGAACTCTATTTCTGGTATATTGTTTTTATCAACTCCATTCTATTTAAAAACTTTAAGGAAAAGGAAAAGTCAATTTTGAACAATATATCTACACAGATATTATTCTTAGAGGAAAAACTCTGTTTGTCTGAGTGAGAATCAGTCCTGCACTGTCTGAGAGAACTTTCTGTGTGATAGAACATTCTGGATCTGTCCTAGTATGGCCATTAGCCATGTGTGTTGCTAATACCTTAAAATAAGGGCTAGTGTGACTGAGGCCTGAATTTGAAATTGAACTGAGTTTTAGTTAATTGAAATTTTATTTGAGACAGCCATATGTACTGTGCTTCATCTGTCTCATCAGCCTTTTAGGGAATTCTGAGTGTCTGGGGGCATGTGATCTGCAGATAGTGGAAATATGGACAGAATAGGCAGGCAACGGGCAGGGCTTGGGGTCTGAGCCTGGGGCTGCCAACCAACTCATGCGTGGGTACGTTGTTCTGCTACCTCCCTGAGGAGTCTTGAGGAGTCTTTACTTTGCTTGTGTAGATGTCTTTCCCAGTTTCAGAAGCAGAGCATTGAGGGCGAATGTTGAGCTTGTTAGGACTCTGGGTACACTGTTGCCCTTCATTAGCCCAGAACGTCTTAGAGAAAGTTGTACTGTCAGCACTTTGGGTGCTCCAGTATATGGTGCTTGTTAGTCACCAGGGACAGCTCCGACAGCAGCCCACAGAGTGTTGTCTTCCTTCTGGAGGAGATTTCTTCTTGCACTTAGCCTCGAGCCTGCTCAGTGACAATTTAAGGAGTGCAGAAAACAATATGTCAAATATTGGCCATCTTTTTCAGAACAGTGCTACATGTATGGCAGATCTTCTCCTAGTGGAAATACTCTTAGCAAAAAACAGTTTTTCATTGCAATAGCTTTATGGGATACATGGGTTAGAGAGTAATAGATGGTTAGCTTCTCCTTATGTGATCTGTTGGCTTGTTTAGGGCATGGCCCTGGAGTTCCTTTTTACAGTTGTGGTAGGAGTGCATCTTCCTGCTGCTTGGGACACCCATGTTCCAGGCCTAGCCTGAAACCTTTATCTTTCCTAGCCTTGGCCTCTCTTGTTACTGAGCCATCTGCTCAGCTAGACCTAACAACTTCTAACTGACCTCACTGAACATCTTTTCTCCCAAAATTTGCTGTGTCTCTGGTGTGTGTTCCTCTCTCTCAGCTCATAGTCTTGGTTAGTTTCATCTGTCTGAGCTAGCTTAATCTTCAAATGCTTCTTTGCCTTTATTTTGTTATTTTAATGTGCTTATTCCATTTTTGTAGCTAGGTTATGGGGGCAAAAATGGTCTTATTACTCTTGGTTCCTCAGGGCCTTCAGCCCAAAGCAGTAAGCAGGGCATGTTGAAGGAAGGACTTCACCCAAGTTCCCTCTGGTTTCTGGACAGCACCTACCTATGGTGGGTGCTCAGTGTGTGATTGCTGAATGTGACATAAGAAGGTGAAACCAAGGACCAGGATGTCTGAAAATACCAAGAAGCAGAGAGTAGATGGGACACAGGGCAACTGGGGGCCCTGCATGATAGCTGCTCTGATCTTGTCCCTCCTTTTTGTACTCATGGGACATGTGATGAGCTGGCAGCCTTTTCTGAAACAGGTCAGAAGCAGGACATTAATGATATTAACTGTAAGAGCATCTAGTACCCAGGACTGTTCACTTACTCCTTGCTTTGTTTCTGGGTGGGTTATGTAGTAGATGGAGTGACACCTGTCCCCAGAGGGGCTTTGTAGCAAGTCTCATGGGACCCATGTCTGGTGTGGCTGTCACCCAACCGTGCATGACTCCCGCAGAACCTGTGGCTGTGCTAGCACTCCTACCAGCACTGACCCTTCAGCATCACCCCAGGACTTGAGAGGTGGTGCCATACCCCAGGCTGCAGCAGGGCAGGGTGCTGGGTAGAGAGTGTGTCTGCATCTGCGCTGACCCTGATTGGGTCTCAGTGAACACACAAACTGAGCCTAGGCCTGGGCACAGCTGTGGGTGCTGCTGACTTGCCTGAGTACCTTTGAGAGTCTCCAGTATGGCGGCATCCTCCCCATGTCAGCAAGAGACTCTCCACATGGGTTCCTTTCTATTCCACTCTTTTAATGTAACTGATGTTTTTGACTGGGTGATATTTTAGTTAGAAATTTACAATGAAAGGGGAGATGGTAGCGAGCATCCCTGCTCCTTGCACCTCGATGCCTGGCTACCCCTCAGGTAGCTCTGGGCACCAGTTTCTCATGCTCCTTCCAGGGATGTTTGATGCAGATGTGAACAGATGAATAAAAATGTTTTTTTCTTTCATTTTACACAGATGGTAGCTTTCCTTCACACTGCTTTACCCAGTGCAACTCTGAGGTCATTTCATGTTAGTTTAGTGCTTTTCCTGTTGTACTTGATGGTCTGAGACCAATGTCCCTGCATTGCTGTGCCCCCTTCTCTTTTTTGTATTCTCTTTCACCTTCCTCTCTCCTGCCCACTCTTGACTTCCCACCCTTTTCTGTTGTCTTCACTCCTCTGAGACCCCCCCCATAGGCACCTGGGGTTGCCTTAGGCTTGCTCTGAGGGCAGGAACTTGCCCTTGGCTGCTTGGCCGATGCTCTGCTCTCCCCCTGGTGTCCAAGGGGGGACATGAAGTGTCAGCATTGGGCATGAAGTGTCAGCATTGATGCCAGGCCTCTCTGGCCAGCCTGATGGGATAGTTCTTACTGCTGACTAACCATAGCGATGCATATTTGATCACAAATAGACATTACCATAATAGGCATTTATTTTGGTGTATTTGAGTTATTATATTTTTGATATTTTATCAAGTTCATTAAAATGTTATTAAATCTTTGTGAAAAATACAAACTAACTCTCTCCAGTCAAAAATTTAAAGGACACAAAGTATTGATATTAAATTTTGAAAATGGTCACATAGTCTTTGAGCAGACACTTAATAAAACATCTTGAACTTGGAAGAAGTTGTAATTATGATTGAGTCACTCCTTGATGCTGAGCTCCAAGGGACAGCTTGGGTCTGTATTGGTCACTCATGGTCTCAGGGTTCTGTGTGAGGCCTGTCATGTGGGGAGGCACTTGCTAGATATCTTTCGGATGAACATATACTCCTTGACTCTCCTAAGTGTTTCTGTGCTTATTACTGGCTAGTAATTCAATTTAGTTGATTTTCCTAAATAGTTCTTTGCCTTCAAATTTATTTAATCAGAATTGGTAAAAGCCCTATTATTTGCTTGCTCCTTGGTGAAGGGTATTTCCGTGTTTCTACTGGCAGCAAAGTATAGAAACTTCAGAACAGCCCTCATCAGTCTAAGAACAGTGTTCTCACGAATTAAAATGCCAGAATAACACTCTTAAGAGAGTTGTGAACTACTTCAGGAAAGTTTTTATTAAATATAAAATATTACCTATGACTTGAATAATTGACATTATAATTACGCATAAAAAGTTCAAATTTCGCCCGGTGCGGTGACTCACACCTATAATCCCAGCACATTGGGTGGCTGAGGTGAGAGGATTGCCTGAGCCTATGGGTTCGAGACCAGCCTGGGCAACTTGGTGAGACCTTATCTCTACAATAAATCAAGAAAAATTAGCTGGGTGTGATGGCTCATGCCTGTGGTTCCAGCTACTTGGGAGGCTGAGGTGGAAGAATCGCCTGAGCCTAGCAGGTTGAAGCTGCGGTGACTGAGAGTGTGCCACTGCACTCCAGCCTGGGTGATGGAGTGAGACTCCAACTTAAAAAAAAAAAAAACACCCCAAAAGTTCAAATTTCAAATAGTGTAAAAAATCTCTAAATGCCATTTCATTATTGTAATTTTGTTATCTTGAATTTGGTCACTAAATTAAGCAGTGAAGTATCATTTATAGGAGGTATACACAATCTTAATTTGATAGGGTCTGTATTTGAAGTCCCGGGTTTGTTCGAAGTATATTGTTACTTTTAATGGGAAAGATGTTGCATGTGGTGGGGAAACCCCACCTAGGATGGTCCCACAATCCAGAAGGGACTGTTTTTGTGTTTGGGTCTTGGACTAGCTCAGTACTTTTACTCATTACCAGGAGATCTGAAGAGAGGAGCTAGGTTGGGCTCAGTGACTCATGCCTGTAATCCTAGCACTTGGGGGGCTGAGGTAAGAGTATTGCCTGAGCCCAGGAGTTTGAGACCAGTCTGGGTAACTTAGCAAGATCTTGTCTCTACAAAAAAACTTAAAAACTAGCTGGGCATGGTGGCATGTGCCTGTAGTTCTAGTTGCTCAGGAAACTGAGGTGGGAGGATTGTCTGAGCCCAGGAGGTTAAGGCAGTAGTGAGCCATGATTGTGCCACTACTCTCCAGCCTGGGCAACAGAGTGAGACCTTGATTAAAAAAAAAGAGAGAGAGGAACTGATGAACATGGCTACTGTCTTCACATTAACTTGAAGTGATTCATTTCTTTAGCTAACTGATATTTTTTAAATGTGCACTAGTTTGTAGTGAGTCTTACAGGCATAGCATGTGAACTTGCCTGCCTGGGTTCTTTGCCTCAATAGGCTTTGAACCAAAGGCTGACACTAGAACTCTGGTCTCAGGGTCTGTGTTTTTCTCAGTTTTCAGGAGACGGACAAGGCCTGGCATGGTGGATGTCTGGCACTGGCGGAACTAGGCAGGAGAGGCCTGTTGCTCCCATCTCGACTTGGAGACGGTAAGTAGCTGAAGCCCCATTGATCTGCATCGCCAAGGCTGTCTGTGACATGCTGGAATTCTTCATTGACACGCATCTCCCTGGTGTGGCCCAGCATGAACATATATAATGTTTGCACAAAAGAACGTGCTAGGCCAGTGTCTCTCAGCCTTTCTTCTCATATTGGCCCTTCTAATTTCCTAATTTCCTCTTTTGATGGCTCTGAAATTTTACTGCCATATATACCCTGTGAACCTGGTTTTGGAGGGCCACAAACCATTCAATGTCTGATTTTCTTATCCCCCAGACCAGAGTGCTTGGGGGTGTTGCTGCCTGTGAGAGACCTGCAAGGGTACTGTGCTTGAACTGTAGAACCAGGCACCTCTGGCAGTGTCTAGTGTCACCTAGGTAATGTTGTGCCACCTAGTGAGGACACCCATGCCAGCATGGAATCAGGGTGGGACTGGAGTGAAGGGCTGGGGAAGCTCTGCAGTGGGCAGCAGTGGGGTGGGACAGAGGCACAATATAGTGGACGTGGAGGGACACCCAGCTATCAGGCCTGGGCACATGCAGCCCTGTCTGTGGCTGGTGGGGACAGTCCCTGGATGTGGCCAGAAGTGCCCTTTGAGGACCAGAGGAAGGGATGTCAGTGTAGGAGGGAGAGGGTCCCATCCTGAGTATGTTACCGCCGATGCTGTGTATCCCAGGAGGGAGCTTCTGTTTAGAGTGAAGGTATCTGAGACAGGAAGGCCATGCATCAGGAAGTCCAGTGTGTGGGCTTCTTTGGGATGGTGTCTGTCAGTTTCTTTTTTTTCCTGTGAATGGGCCATACTTTTCTGTTTCTTTGTATGCCTTATATTTTTTTTTTGTTGAATTCTGGACACTTTTATTATTATAATACAATGACTCTGAAAATCAGATTCTCCCTCTATCCCCTAGCGGTTTGCTTTTGTTGCTTGTTGCGGGCTGTAGTTCTTTGTTAGTGACTTTTCCAGACTGTTTTTGCAATGACTATATTTCTTGTGTTTGTCACTGAAGTCTCTGTTTCTTTATCTTAGCAGTTAACCAGTGACCTAACAGAGATTTCCTTACATGCTGAAATGTAGTAGATTTTTTTCTTCATTAAGCATTCTCTGGTTGCTGTAAGTTTTTGGTTAGAATCCAGAGTTCTGAAAAGATTAATTCTGTTAGTTTTTGCCAACTTCGTGGTTGTTTTGGTGGAGAGACAGATTCTTGGGGCTCCCTGCCTACCATATTCTGTGATGTCTAATAACTAGTGTTTGAATAGTATTAGTCTGGGTCCTTTGAGGCTCAGATGCCAAGATAGGATTTAACATGCCAGGATTATAGGAGCTGCCTTCTGATGCTGAATGGTGTATGTGTTGGGTATTGGCATGGCTGGAGGCCTCGTGCAGGGTGGCATGTCAAAGGAAGGGGTTTGGCAGGGCCCTTGGGGTTCTTTCCCAGGAAGAGGTGCACTAGCATGGCCGCTTTGTTTCTGGTAAAGCTGGAGACTCAGTGCAGAGGCTGACCCAGGCTTGGCTGGTTCCCATGAGGAGCCTGCTGTCTACCTGGCCTGACCCTGCTGTTCCATCAAGGGCTATGAACCTCAGGTCCCAAATGAGCAGGTGGGCCTGAAGGACTTGGCTTGGCTCCTGATACAGCCCCAGTGTCCAGTTCCTCTGGTGACCACATGCCTTGTTTGACTTTTTTTAATCTTTGTGCAGTTTTGAACTGTTGGATATTATAGTTTGTAAGAAAAGTGTAGACACATGAGACATATCTGACTTTGTATGTGGACTAATTGTTCACCTGCTTTTCTTTTTTTCTTTAAAGTGCTTTTCCTGAGTGAATGTGTGTGCTTCATTTTGTACTCTACCCTCTTCTTCCTCCCTCCCTCCCCATAGCATTTTGGTTGAAGGTTGAAACTGGTGGAAACAGGTAGCAGTGGAATGCTGTTAAGCCTATTTAGGAGGAGTGTTGTCAGTGTTTTCTTTTAAATGTGAATTCAAGAATCCTTTTTTTCCCCAGTTTTATTAAGGTGTCATTCACATATTATACAGTTTGCTTAGTTAAAATATATAATTCAATGGTTTTTGATATTATTACTTCACTTTTAAAAAATAGTGGTAAAATACATATAACATAAAAATCTGCCATTTTAATCATTTTAAAGCATGTAACCCAGTGGTATTAATTTTATTCATTTTGTTGTATAACCGTCACCATTATCTAGTTCCACAACTTTTAATTATCCCAATCAGATTAAGAAATAACTCACTCCCCATTCTCTTTTCCTCCAACCCTTGGTAACTCCAATCTGCTTTCTGCTTGAAGAATGAACTTTCCTATTTTAGGGGTCTCATGTAAGTGGAATTATACAATATTTGGCCTTTTGTGTCTGGCTTTTTCACTTAGCATAATGTTTTTAAGATTAATCCATGATTCAGCAATACATCTCAAAAATCATCCACCATGACCAAGTAGGCTTCATTCCTGGCATGCAAGGCTGGTTCAACATTCGTAAAACCATAAATGTAATTAAATACATCAACAGATGTCAAAACAAAAACCACATGATCATATCACAGATGCAGAAAAAGCTTTTGATAAAATCCAGCACCCCTTCTTGATAAAAATCCTTGAACATCTAGGCATATGGGGAACATACCTCAAAATAGTAAAAGCCATCTACGAGAAACCCACAGCCAGCATACTCCTAAATGGACAAAAATTGGAACCAATTCCCCTGAAAACTGGAACTAGACAAGGATGCCCGCTCTCTCCCCTCCTGTTCAACATAGTATTGGAAGTCCTGGCTAAAGCAATCAGAGAAGAGGAGGCAATCAGAGGCATTCAAATAGGAAAAGAGGAAGTCAAGTTATCTCTCTATGCAGATGATATGATGGTGTACCTTGAAAACCCAAGAGAATCTGTCAAAGGCCTCCTTACATTGATAAAAGCCTTTGGCAAAGTCTCAGGATACAAAATAAATATACAAAAGACAATCGCATTTCTCTACACCAATAATAAACAAACAGAAACCCAAATAAAAAACACAGTTCCATTCACAATAGCCACAAAAAAAAAATGAAATACCTTGGCATCTTCCTAACCAGAGACGTGAAAGACCATTACAATGAAAATTACAAAACACTGCTCAAAGAAATCAAAGCTGACACGAACAAGTGGAAAAATATCCCATGTTCATGGATCGGAAGAATCAACATTGTGAAGATGTCCATCTTACCTAAGGCAATCTACAAATTCAATGTAATACCCATTAAATTACCAACAACATTCTTCTCAGACCTAGAAAAAACAACACAGGAATTCATATGGAAACACAAACGTCCAAGAATAGCCAGAACAATCCTCAGCAAAAAAAAAACAACAAAGCAGGTGGTATCACAATACCAGATTTCAAACTTTACTATAAAGCTACAATCATCAAAACGACTTGGTATTGGTACAGGAACAGGCATATAGATCAATGGAACAGAATTGAGATTCCAGAAGCAAAACCTCAATTTCTCAACCAACTCATCTTCGACAAAGCCCCCACCACCTACCAATGGGGAGAGGAGAACCTATTCAGTAAATGGTGCTGGGAAAATTGGCTGACCACATGCAGAAGATTGAAACAGGACCCCTATCTATCCCCATGCACAAAGGTTAACTCCAAATGGATCAGAGACCTAAATGTAAAACCTTAAACCATAAGAACCTTAGAAAAGGAAGGAAATACTCTCATGGAAATCGGAACTGGCATCCAATTCCTGTACAAAACCTGAAACCCACAGGACTTAAGAGAGAAGATAGACAAATGGGACCTTATTAAACTGACAAGCTTCTGCAAAGCCAAAGAAACCATCAAGAGAGCAGGAAGACAGCCTACAGACTGGGAAAAAGTATTTGCCAACTCTAGGTCTGACAAAGGCTTAACATCCTGGATCTACAAGGAACTGAAACATACTGAAAAGAAGAAAACAAACAACCCCATTATAAAATGGGCAAAC